TGACCTCCTCTAAAGCTCCCTCGAGAACCTCCGCGAGGTCCTCCTCGGAAGCCACCTCGGTATCCACCTCGACTGACCAAGGCAGCATGATGATCGGGAGGCTGAGCAGACTGAAAGTCCTCATTTCTAAGGACCCGAGCGAATGTCTCTTGAAGAGAAGGGATCGTTGATTCGTTCAAGAACAGTGATCTGATGGAATCAAATTCTGGTAGTAGACCACTCAGAAAGCTTATGACAGCAATTTGCTCCCTTTGAGTCTGCATAGCTTTCACATCAGTGCTCAAAGGAAGGAGAGAATTCATCTCCTCATAAACCTTCTTGAACTCCATGGCATAGGTCATAAGAGAACGATCCTGTTGTTCCCCACGATGAAATGCCTTACAGACACTGTAAATTCGTGAAATGTTGTTTTGCCCAGAATACAGGAAGTCAAGATAATCTATTAACTCCTTCACATACTCACAATGACTGACCAAAGTTGAGACCGAAGGCTCAATAGAGTTAATAATCTGCAAGAACATACGAGCATCTTGTTGTAACCAAAGGTCACGATTACCGTCAGTAGAAGGGTCAGAATCTAGATGAGAAGCCATTCCCATACTTCGGACATACAGACGGACCATTTTGATCCATTCAAAGTAATTAGTACCGTTAAGTTTATTATCGGTAACTCTACCACTCGTCGGGATCAATTCAGGTATACGAACACTGCCAGACGACTTGTCATCGAACGACTTGTCTCCATCTTTAGCCATCGGAGATGGAGCGGATGAAGATGGCGACCTTCAAGAAACAAGAAACAGAAGTTGGGATGATGCCGGCGGCGGCTGGCGACACGTGGGGTGGCGGACAGCGACTGGAAAACACCGGGTTGGTCGTCTGAGTCAGCGGCGGCGGTGCAGCGGCAGCGGCAGATTCCGGCGAGCAGAGGCGGCAGCGGCAGATTCCGGCGAGCAGAGGCGGCAGCGGCAGATTCCGGCGAGCAGAGGCGGCAGCGGCAGATTCCGGCGAAGTCGGCTAGGGTTCCGGTGACGACGGCAGGAGGTTTTCAGAGTGGCTCTGATACCATGTGATCAGAGGGACAGAGAGAAGAAGTATTCTTATTTACTTAATGAATAATTACAAAGGAGAGGCGTGTATATATATAGACACAAATAAGAAACCCAAACCCAAATAAGCAAAGGCCCGTACGGCCCAACAGAAACCCTAAACAGACATAATATTTACAATATATTCTAACAGGCTCCAAAGGTCAAAAGTGCCTGGAGGTCCCAGGTTCGAATCCAAGGAGGAATAAAAATCCCCTTGTGGCCACGGAGGTTCAAATGCGGTGACTCTGGGCTACCCGTGAAGCGGGTGGTCACCCAGGGATTAGTTAGCTTGCATAGCGGGTTGGATATCCAGGTTAATCAAAAAAAAAATATTGGTGTCCCGTGATTTAAAATAAAATAAGCAAGTATGTCATTTTATATTTTTGCCTAGACTAGGTTTTATATGGAGGAGAAACCATGGTTTTCTCCATCGTCTCTTGCAATACAACTCCATGCTTTTCATTATAATCAAATATTAACATCAACAAGCTGCAGAAAGCAATATCAAAGATTGCATGGATCACCGCTTTGTTCTGTTCAAATATTTCTTGAGTGCCATTTCCATGATGTACGTCCTGCAAAGATATGGGATAGATAATTAGAAGTCATGGCTATACATCAGTTTCATCAAGTACAATCAATCTAGTATGCTTAAAGCATCTGCTCCTCATAGAAAGTCTTCTAAAACTGTTCAATGAAAAACTGAAGAAGCTATCAACATTACCCAATCAACAATTAAGACCTTCTTTGCTCCGGCAACCTGTGCTGCTGATGCAGCAACTGCTGCATTGTTGTGCAGGCAGAATCCCATTGCTTGTTTTACACCAGCATGATGACCAGGAGGACGGACCTGACCCATCACACACACAGAGATTAATGAAACCGGTAGAGGTGAATTATAGTGACCGCAGGGTTCAAAATTTATTTTACCAGAGCAAACCCGTTTTTAGCACGCCCAGAATATATTGCTGAAGCAAGATCAGCACATAAACCTGCTGCAAGCCTGGCAGCAAGTGCTGAATCTTTGTTTGCGTAAGTGTCAGGAGTGAAATAACTGCCAGTCGAACAATTGTTACCAATATAATGTTGATAACGACACCACTCTGCCTAGATTTGGTGTTTATGATTGCAAGAACCATGCAAATATGAGATATGCACCTATGCCATCGTTAAGAAATGACAAGGAGCAATAAAAAAATGCTGAGGATATTAGTCATCCGCTATTCAACATACCTTGCAACACATTGGCTTGTAAGTTCAACAGATTCAATATTTTCATCAGAGTGAACCTGAAACAAATATCATAATAATATGAGGTCAATAGCTTTAGTTAAACCATAGATACTGTTTATACATCTGTAGCACCTATATAGGTCACAACGAGAAGCAATTCCATATATTAGTGTCAAGTGAGCCAACAGATCAGGCTCAAGTTAGTAACATAAAATATTCATTTATAATATACGGTCAGCTTATACTTATATTGGTCCTAGGAAAAGAATGATATGGCAATAAAGATGAAAGTAGAAAATCAAGATTGCAACTAAATCCATTGCATTTCATGCAACAGACGATCAGTTACAAGCGGGCTTTAATCTAATAAGGGAACGCTTACCATCTGGAGTTCTTCTCGTGTAATTTCTCTTGCTGTAATCGGATGGCATCTTCCAGGAAATATACCTGCAGGTTACAGATGAGAAAGAATCAAGGATTGAACAGACCAGCACAGCAGAAAGGAAGAGAGAGAGATAAATAGAATTGGGGATCCAAGCAACATAACAAAGAAGAAAGACAAGGCAGTTAAGTCACACACCTGCAGTTGCGAGGCTGGCAGCAATGGCACGAAGACGGTCTGGTCTTTCTGGATGTGGAAGAGACTTCCTTTCAACCTACAATATAACAATCGAGCAAGGATATCCAATCATAAATTGCAGGATCTAGCTAGAACAATCTAACTAACAGAATCCAGGCAAGCACACAAAAACAGTCTTTATAAAAACAGAAAAACCTGTTCACCTCCTGTAGTAAAAAATTAATACATGCTTCTTTCTTCAATCATGTATCATATATAAACCTGGTAAATTAACTTATTTTTCTAATACAAAATGGTGTTCTAGCCTCTATTTTGCATTTACACTCAAAAAATCTGAAACAAGTTCCATAGATTTGTCATATTCTCCTTTCTCAAAGATCCAGTTTCCCGTTACATTTTCTCTGTCCCACCCAGGTTCTACATCAACATGATGACTTTTTAGTTCTCCAGCAATCTTCCTCCAAAACGAGCCTGATCTTATGCATCGAACTCATAAGATTTTGTTCGACTTTCGTTCTTAAAGGTGCTTGGCAAATGCAAAATCCACCAAGAGGTATCCATCAAATTACAATAGTTGGTCCAGCAGTTCGCTTAAAATTTTCTAGTCTGGCTATCCTTTCGAATCTTCCATCAGGATAGTGGCAACTATACAGAAACAAATAACAGGCATTTTGCATTGAATTAGGACCAGTAATTCCTCTTCAAAAACATTTCTTCTCAACCAACTTAGGAAAGGTTCTAATAAATCTCGCACTGAGACAACATCCATATGCATCTTGTGAAGCCATATGCCGTAGTGTTTAGCTAACATCCAGGTCAATCTCCCCTTTGTTGTAAATTGGCTATTTGGCTCTACCTGATAGCTATCACAATGGTTTCTACACCTTACATCAGAACATAGTGCTTCGAACCTGTTTTCATTTTGCCAAAGTGGCAAATACTTGATCAATCTCACCAAATTGAAAATTAGAACCATCTAAGGAAGTTCTTGAAAGATCCAACATGCTTTTAAAACTAGACTTATTTTCATCCATAAATGGTTTATTATGCAGACAGTACATGCGATCTTTATCCTGTACATGTTCTCCAGGTTTTCATTGGGAGAGGGGAATGTACTACATGCAATGTAGTTCTTTGGTTAAGGGGAACTCATCAAGTCATGTATTCTCAGATGTTTTCACATAAGTCTTATATCACATTGGCATATTCTACTGACGCTTATCATTTGCGATTACTTAGATACCCACCACATAAGTTATGAACTTATCCCCTATATTGTTACAAATGTAATATTTTAACTGTGACAAGTGACCACCATATCCTAACCTATCACTCAATTTCACTATCATAGTCCAAGAATAGTCAAATTTGAAGGAATACCACACAACAGATTCCAAAAAAATGATGACATTAAACATCTAATTACATAAGTATTAAGAAAATGAAAAATGATGAAGGATGAGATATTAGTTTTTGGTTCACAAGAATTTATAAAGATTGGGATATTGGGAAGGCATCTTACTTCGGAGTGAAGCAACATTCTGTCATCAAAACCCACTGCTGTCGATTTATGTGGGGCTGAAGTCCGTGAGCAAGAAGCTACATTGATAGACCAAAACAATCATAAAAATGAAAGCATTGAGAAGAAAAAGGAAGACGAAAAACCATCAACAATCAACATCAATGTGGTTGGTACTCTGTCCAATTATGTAATTTTATATCAGCTAGAATAATATCATCTAATAACACTTCTGATTTCTTTATTCATCATTTTTTTCTCTTTTTGTTAAAGTATTCTCTTTTTGCATGATATCAAGAAATGAAAGATTAACTTGATGTGGGAAGTGATTTTAGATGATGAGGTGCTAAATTGATATCAAAACAAATATAGGCAGCCAGGTCATTTGTGTCTCCAGAATGGGCTCACTACAAAAAAGCCTATGCACAAAAGAAGCCACCACGGTTTGCCACCACTTAAACTGCCGACTTCCAGTTTGAAAACATAGCATTCCTCTCCAGCAACATGCAAACAGTGAAAGGAGGAATATGCTTCAGACCCTTCTGCTTTGAACTAAACATAAAAAGCAACATCATAACCTTAGAATACTCAAATCTAAAATAGCATGCATCATACTCGAGAAGTTGGCAGGACCGATTTCCAAGTTTAGTTAGGTTTAAAGATTAATGGATATTAAATGGAATATTATATGTACTAACATGACAATGGATACAGCTCATGGACCCAACAGATTTTTGAAGGGCGTTCATGCTAGTAGTTGGTAGGAAGTTATGAAATAAGAGATCAATGAGAACAATTTCCTTTTTTGGTTCCAAAAGCCTTCTTTCTAAAATCAAATAATGTGGATTAGTTTGAACAGTATATTTCTAAAACATTTTTTCAGCATTATTCTTCGTGTGATTACCGTCACTATTAAGGTTGACTTCCCTCTTCACTCCATGCTTCTGCAAATGTGATTTGTTAAACTTATAGATTTTCAGAGCATAAATTATCATTGCATAGTTACTATTTAATAGTGAAGATGACAAAATCACATGATTAGGGTCACCTGAATTATATCACAATGTTACTACAAAGTCTCCTATGATGTCCAATTGGATAAGAATTAGGGATTCACTTAATCAGGGTTTGTAAGTAATAACTGGGGATTTATGGTAGTTTGATTGATTCATGTTTTATTTATTATCAATGTACTTTAGTCCCTTGCCCATTTTATTAACCCCTAAACCTAATTAGGGATTTCATTCTATATAGCTTGACGTTATCCCCACATTTCAATTCAACAATTGAATATATTTCGAGTGAGCAAGAGTGCTCTTCACATAATTGATTGTGCGATGCACACAATCTGCAGGTTAGATGTCCTGGTTGAGATAGTTAGGAGGTCTCAAGGATTTTAGGTCTGAAACTCAGAATCCTAATTCTCTTTTAATTTCTATAGTCAAATCTTAGTGTTTTAATTCTTTGTCCTATATAGGTTGGTCTAAGAGCTCAAAATTCTAAACCTTTACACTGAAAACAACAAAGAAGATGCTCAGTTATGTTACCTTGCTTGAGGAAGCAAGATGATTTTATCAACATGCTATCATTTGGCCTTGTTTTAATGATGTCGGAAAATTTCTATTAGAGACACCTATGTGTCATATTTTATCTGATTAAGGCATCCTCCAATAGAGGTATGATTTAATGGAGTCCCACAAAACATTGATAGGACCTAACAGCAGGAGGCATGTTCAAATATTTGGTTACTCCCCAGCACCTAATTAAGCATCTAGATAGTTCATTATGGGCTGCCAGAATTGCTCCCACCTTAGAGATCATATAATTAGTCAACGCATATATTGACATGATATGCAACAAGACAGCTCAAGACGAGGAGCAAAACAAGAAATATGAAAAATTCCAGATTAGGATCCAGTTAAGCCTTCCTAGATAATATCAAACGAGTATGGAAGGCAGAAAGAATATGGAAATCATTTGGTCACATCAAAGCATATTTTAAGCATAGGCATGAAAAAGAGTAACCCTGACTAGGAAGGATACACTTTCTGCAAGCCAGGGGTCTTCAAGGAGACAGCTGCACTATTCTCCTAGATAGAGGATAAGTCTGAGCACATCCCACACCCAAGCCATCCTCCAAGTGGGATATATTGGGCTGTTTGGTTTGGTTTTTGACTAGGAAGGATACAAGTAGCACAAGTATAAAAAGAGAGTAACCCCAATAGAGACTATTCAACTAACAAGGCAGCGCCATGCAAGAAGAAATAAATGATGATAGTTTCCGAGACTAATCAAACAAACAAAAAAGTAAAAATATTTTTAGTTAATTGTACATAGACCTCTCATGTAACACTAATATGGAGAAGCAAAAAAATTATAATAGACTATCTTTTACACCTTCTAATTCGCCATCTCGTTCCGATGATATGTTCAGAATAGAATCTGCTTCCTGTGAAGGCAATGCAAGAAAGCCATGCCTAAGGATTCCAGATTCTTTATGCTCTCCACATATCTGCATATAAAAGTTTTAGCAAATTATTGACAAGCATCCCACTCAAATCATGGATATCCAAAACATGTTGGAAACCAAACTGCTGGAGCATGAAAGATATAATGCGTCTTGGGTTAGATTAACATATGGTACTAAAAAAATGAAAAGATGAGTGCATTATGAAAGGAGTTGACATGACCATACATGGCAATAGATAGCATCATCAACATTAACCATTGTACAGTTAACGCAAAACCATTTGACAACCGGTATATGTTTTTCTAAAGGCTCCCAATCGCTGTCATCTTCATCATCGAAATCACCTTCTTTGCTATATATATCCTGAAGGGTCATGTCTTCATGCTGCCTCGAATACTTCTGCAGTTAAAGCTTAACGTAAAATATGTATTTCAAGTCATTTAGAATAGCAAGGAACACCTTAGATAACACCATTAATAGGTAATGATATCTAAATTCAGAAATCCACTAATTACAACATCCAAAGTTGATCCACTGTCCAAAAAACTGTCCACGTTTCACAATGGGAAGTCAAAAATAAAGTAACTACCCAAACTCAAACCAGAAATCAAATATCACCTTCTTACTAATGTTTATTTATGTTAGTACTTTTATGTAGTTCAATGTAGTTATTAAAAAGTGGGCTAGAATTCAGAATTAAAAGTGGACCCAAATAAACATTAACAATGGAGCTAAATGCACCAACTCTTGCAGTCTATTCCATTAGCAATGGAGCATAAAATCGCAAAGTTTTAGAGTCTACAGGAATCTCCTGAGACAATGTCAAGAGGGAATGAATTCCTATGGAAAGTATAAGCTACAAAAAGTGGCTTGCCCATGCTGTTAATCCAACCGCTATAACGGTGCCGTAGCGGTTAGCGGTCATGAGGAAAACAGCGGTGGTCAAATAGCGGTCCCGTGATTAGCAGTGACAGCTAAACAACCTTATTTTGAACACTCAATAGCAGCCGCATAACCGCTACTTGTAGATGGGTTTTTTGGCATCAAGCAACTATTTTTTGGGCTTTTATTTTGGAGTTTGGACGTAGTCTAGGTTTTATTTTAAGCGAAGAATATTAAGACTTAGTCGGTCAATGATTTAGCAATTTGTTTGGGTAAAACTTGACTTGTTTTGAGTTTATGTTTTGACGTTGAAATTATTATTTTTATTGAATACATCTAATATGTTAAGTTATGAATATATATATATATAATCCTAATTACTATATAAATCACTACTTTTGGGCAGCTATACCACCATTTTACCATCACGATAACCGTTATTTGAAATCACAGTCCTGACTGCGATTTCATATTTTGTAACAGTATAGTGACTCACAGTGTAGTATAAAGAGCAAATATATCTAAAAGAAAGAATTCCAAACTGCAAGTCTCACTTACTTTGCTTGTCATTCCATCAGTTGATATTCCAGAAACATCCCCAGAACCTTCATAGTCATGGCATGTACTTGCAATGATTCCACCAGATCCCAAGTTTCCCTGCCTTCCATTAAAGCCCTGTTCGAGAGTTGGGTCGTTTGGATCATGAATGTTGGTCTCCGCCTCCCCATTTGCTAAGCGGCTGATTTGCATGGCATTCGAGGACGCTTTGTGGTCAGAGTGACAGCCCTCTAACACAATCATTCCTTCATTAAGAATGCACAAATCAGTGATTATGTCCTAAAAGAAAGTAAACATGCCAAATATTTCATGTCATAATCAGAAGGCTGATAGAAAAATGGACACTCCTTGTTGTAAGACAAGATAAAATTCATAGTATCACACAAACTTGACACTTTCTGCAGGTACACAACAGCAATGTTTAGTGGTACACAGGTTTGAAGCTCAAGAAAGAGCAGTGTCAGACCCATTACACGGTTAAATTTACAAATGAGCCACATGACACAGAGCATAACAGCAAAATTCTTGGCAGGAAAGTAAAGGTATCACAAGATTCTAAAAGGGTGGCTCCAACTTTGTTGACAGGGACACTTGATCTGGTACTTTGATAGCCTTCTTGAGTACTGTGCTGCCTATTTTTACCTTAATAACTATACTAAATGCCCACAGGTTATCTTCATTTGGCACTCACTAACTTATAATTATTACTTTTAGTGCAAATCACAAAACATGGAAGCCCAATCCAGCAATATCGCAAGAGTGAAGGGGAAGAGTAGTAGACAACATTTCTCCTATAGTAAGCAGAAAATAAATGAAATTATCCGTTTAGATATCATAATTACAATACTAAGGTGTGTTTTCAGAAGAAGAATAAACCTAACTTATAATGTGCAATTGGATGGATAGAAGAATGCTATTTCACAACCTTTGAATGTAGGATGCGATGTTACTCTAAGTTTCCTTTATCTTCAAGCAAGGGAAGAGGTTAACATTTGGTCCACTTTATGATTCTGTCAAGAATAGTATTGGTGAAGGGAAATTTTTATTGGAAACGCATAATGAAAGATCGAAGACATTCTGGGTCAGATTCTTTACCAAATATTAAATGTTTTCATAAAGTTACAGTCCAACAAGATGAATGCAATCTGAATATATGGCCCTAGTGACTGTTAACCATTCCCTACACATGTTACTTGATATGAGAAAATCTAAATTGGAACTTTATACTTCTGAGTTGAAAAAAGGCCCAGTCAACGAACTTTTTTTCTGTTGCCAAAAGCAAACAATGTTACACATGTCAAAAAAGAAATATTAAAACCATAAAACTTAGAAAATCTGACGATTGATCATCCCGACATGCACATGCAGAAGCTTAGATTTACACATGGAGAAAATTGCGTTGCTAATGTAGCAGTTACCAATCATTCTGAACAAGACAAACAAATTTTCTGTACTAATTGAATGTGAATGTAGATCAATAGAGGGGATTCTATAGAAGTTCTTCTGTCTCATCCGTGATGATTATGTGATCATTTTCACCTCTCTCTCACTTGGCGACTACAACTTCAAACTAGCAAGGGACAAAAAGGTGTCTGTCTACTTAAATGTGGGGCTATAACACCAACCCTTCAAGGCCTTGAGATGCTAGAGAACATCATACACCAGGCCATATGCCTTTCTTTTGGCTTCTAATGTTTTTCCCCATAACAAATAGACACACAGGCAAAATGCTAATGAAAGGTTCCACATTAAGAAATAAAAAAGAAAACATCTTCTAAAACTTAATGGGAAGAAGGGTATAGGAAAGTCAATTCAACGTATTAACTTAATGGGAAGGATGCTACAAGAATGTCAATCCAACGTAAACCAGAGGGTGAGACCTCATCATTGGCTATCACTTCTTCACATACAAAACCTAGGTATATGTTATTTCCCTTGGCCCTGATGTTGCAGCCAAGGACTTCAATTGAAACAAACAATAGCAGAAAGTCAAACATAACAAGAAACAAGAAACGCTCAAGTACCCATTTTCTGTTAAACCCAAACAGTCCAAGAATTACGATGATGAATCAAAACATAGAGACCAAAACAAAATGTGTGTACTGAAATTAGTCCCAGACCTCAAAGTATAGGGTTTCAAACAATATATTACTAAAAGTTCAAAAATGTCAATTACCAAAGATGTTACCAGACATACTCATAACTTGTTTCTTCTATGCATGCTCGTGTTCCCTACATAAATTTTCAAATTCATCGGGAAAACAAAAACTCGAACAGTAATCCAACGATAAAACATTTCCCTCCCGTATATACATTTGAGTACACGTGACCAATAATGATGAAAGAGATCGAAAATCAGAATGACGCTTTTCTCGAAGAACTGACCTGATTAAGCTGAGTGCAGAGTTGAATCTCACTATGATTTCAACGACTTCAATTGATTTTTTCTCCTGGTCTCTGATTTTGGGGGAAGAAATGTTTTGAGTGACGGGACGCGAGCCGATTTTTATTGGCGGGATTTTTGCATAGATGCCCTCATACTTTTATGTATTGTCATTTCATGCCCAGGAACTAACAAATTATGCCGAATTAACCCCTTCTCGAATTTCTTGATTGCAAAATGGACCAAGAAGGGTTAAGGGTTGTGCGGTTCATTTTCTACTAAGACTTGTATAGATAAATAAGGAGAACCAAGGTTGGTATCCATCACTATGGTGAAATCGAAGAAACAAGGAGAGGTGAAATCGTAGGAACAGATTTGAGGCCTTAAAGGTGTTGAATTAAACAACGATGTTGTCGTCGTTGTCTCTCCTTCATCGTCAACAATGGTGGCTGTAGAGTTGGGCTAAAAAAGAAGAGGTGAAGTTGTAGGATAAGGGTAGATAATGGTTGAGTACGAAGGACACATGGTTTATAGCTAACTGATTAAGCCCTTGGCTGAGTGAATAAGTCGCAACCGAACAGCTTGATGTAACTGAGCGAATAAGCCATAACCCTTATACAGCCCATTTAGCTCCTACCGAACAACCCCTTATATAACTTTTGAGATGGAAATTTGCCAATTGGAGACTCGTATTTACATGGACCCGTCTGTAATGAGGTTATGCGGCCAGGATTTCCAAGTTTATGTATTGGCAAAGGTGACGATGTGTATAGACTTATAGGCGTTACGATTTTTTAAGATCTAACAATTTCACCGCTTGACTTGTTTTTACTATCATTATATTGGATTTTACTTTGATCATTAGGTTTTTTAAATACTCCTAACACAATTTGAGAACATTTGGAATATCAATTATCGTTTGAAAGTACATCTTTTCTGAAAATCTTGACCCAATAATAAGAATAAAGCACAGAATGTTTTCTCAAACATGGAGGAATTTTATTCGCTACCAACAAAAATAGTGTGACAAGTCTCTTCTAGAAGAATGTTATCTACATAAGCTATACTTCAACCACTTTTATATAGTCATATCTAAATCAAGAAAGTGCTTCATTATAAGAAGGCTTCAAAACTATCATCCTACCATCACATCGAAATGAATGTTATAAAGTTAGTCGACATTGTTTATTCATATATGAATAAACATATATGAATATGATTAGGAGATGAACTTATAGTCGCCGGAGTGGGGTCGCGGAAGGCGGCAATGGTGCTCGCGGCGATGGCACTGGCGGTGGAGGATCCTCCCGTCGCCGATGAAGATGGTTCGGCCGACGAGGATGCAATAGGTGCGGTCGTCGGCGACGTACTGGTGGTGGTTGCAACGGTGGTCTTTCGCCGGCGAAGTGAACGCCGGGATGGGTGGTTTCTCACCGGTTGCTTCGTCGCGCCATAGAAAAATAGTTTGGCTGGCGATTTCTTTAAAGAAGATATGGGAGACGAAGGGAGAAATGAGAAATGAGGGAAAAATAAAAAGTAGTTTTTGGTTTGTTTATTTTAAAAAATTTAAATCTTGGGAAGGAAAGAGTGAAAAAGTGATTTGAAAGACAATGATGGCAAACTATTTTATTTAAAAAAGGAATGACCAAATAATGACCTCATTTCCATGATGTCTCCTCTTAGGGTACAAGTATTTGTACAAAATACAAGTATTATACCCAAAATTTTCAAAAAGACATATGTTGAAAAATGCACACTTGAAAATTTTATTTTCAAAATTTCGTCAAAAGTTGGTCATTTTTTTAAAATAAAATCTTGCTCTTCATCATCACCCTTGAAAAAAAAATGTAAAAATTTCTTTTAACTTTTTCCCATTTATTTTTCTTTTTCTAAACATTTTTCCAAAAAACCCACATATCAAAGGCTAATCATCTAAGATGTACTTAGCCAATGATATGACTCAAAAACCCTCTTTTCACAATCTCTCATGTTTACTTCAAGGTGACATCATGTCCTTTCCTAAAACATTTCATTACTATGAAAACAATGTATATGTTGACACAAAAAAAAATGATGTTGGCTCATCTTCTTTAAAATTCGGATAACCCAGACAGTGAGCACAAACTTTCCACTGTCTACTCAAAAACACCAGATTTTTCCTTTATTATTTTTTTCTTTTTCTCCATTCTTGCTTTCAAAATAAAATATTTACAAAGTTTTGAAAATCTTTTTCAAAAATCACTGGGTTGGACCGATTATTCCCTCCGGGAGGAAATGTTTTATCCGATGCCCGTTAACTTTGGAAGTGCTATTATCTTGGGGATTTAAAAGATCCACAGTTTCGAATTTTCCCACATTTACTATGGTGAATGGTCCAGACCATCTCAACTTAAGTTTTCCGGGAAAAAGCTTTAGTCGATAATTAAAAAGAAGAACTTTTTGACCATTTTCGAAAATTCGGCGATTTATCCTACGATCATGCCAAAATTTTGTTTTTTCCTTGTAGAGTTTAGCATTCTCGTAGGCATGAAATCTCCATTCTTCCGACTGATTAAGTTGGAGTTTTCTTTTTGCTCCCGCCGAATTTGCGTCCAAATTAAATTCTTTTATTTCCCAAAAAGTCTTATATTCCAATTCGAGCGGGATGTGACATGTTTTTCCAAAAACTAACTGGTACGGCGACATTCCCAAATGGGTCTTGAATGCGGTTCGGTATGCCCATAATGCATCATCCAACTTAAGCGACCAATCCTTACGATCCGGTCTTACAACTTTTTCTAAAATATTTTTAATTTCTCGGTTCGAAAGTTCGGCAAGACCATTCATTTGGGGATGGTATGTCGTAGCTACTCGGTGTTGGATGTTGTATTTGGTGAGAACGGTAGATAGCATTCGATTCATAAAATGCGTCCTTTCATCACTTATCAAAGCTCGGGGTGTTCCAAAATGGACAAAAATATTTTTATGCAAAAAATCGATTACCGTCTTCGCATCGTTCTTCGGGCATGCCTTAGCTTCCACCCACTTCGAAACATAATCAACGCTACCAAAATATACTGATTATTGAAAGACATAGGAAACGGTCCCATGAAATCAATGCCCCAAACATCGAAAAGTTCGACTTCAAGAATGTTATTTAAAGGCATCTCGTTTCGTTGGGACAAGTTTCCCATTCTTTGACACTGTTCACATCTATTCACAAAATTAAATGCGTCTTTAAACAATGTAGGCCAAAAAATCCACTTTGTAAGATTTTTGCTGTTGTACGTTGTCCACCAAAATGACCACCATACGGTGAAACGTGACTAGGGATGGTAATGGACCCCGACCCGTCGGGTAACCCGGTCCACCCGCCCCGATCGGGGACGGGGAATCCCCGAAAAATCGGGTCCCGGGGACGGGGACGGGGATCCCCGCTTGGCGCAATCCGGGGATGGGGACGGGGACGGGTATAGCACTCCCCGCCCCGCCCCGTACCCGTTATTTATATATATGTGTTTTATAGGAATTTGGGCTTTTGACTTTGGGCTTTTATTGTAAAATATGTTATGAATGCATCCCTTGATCCCTTCCTTCCTCAGCCCAATCCACACAACACTTTTATTTCCCCTCCAAGACCTCCACGTCCACGGCTCCACGCACGACAGTGACGACACGCACCAGTCACGCTGCCTGCTGCTCTCCTCTCCACCACGACGCTGCTGCCTGCTGCTCTCCTCTCCACCACGACGCTGCTGCCTGCTGCTCTCCTCTCTCCTTTTCGACAGGCCGTCGGCGACGGCGACAGTCCCACGGCCTCTCCCTCTCGGCTCTCCCTCTCGGCCTCTCCCTCTCGGCCTCTCCCTCTCGAACTCTCCCTGGTGTGTTATTGTAAGTGTTAGGTCTCTTAGATCACCTTCTTGTTAAATTATTGGTTTACCTTTATACCTCATCTATTTGCCTACTTTTTCTTGATTTGTGAACTAATGTGGACCCAAATTAGTATATTATTGTGGTTGATTAATTTATTTAAATAAGTTAGGGTTTTGACTTTCTTTATTTTAATTATCATAATCTATGGTTTTGACTTTCTTTATTAATAAGTTAGGGTTATGTTTACTTTATAGATTATGTTTACAATGTTTGTACACTTATATCATAATCTGTGGTTTAAAATATTCCTAAGGTTTTGACTTTCTTTATTGCAAGGATTTTAGTCGATGAAGGAGTACAATGTTTGTATTTGATTAACAAATAGTGATTATGTTTACTTTACAGATTATGTTTACAATGTTTGTACACTTATATCATCCAATAGCAAAAGGAGATTTTGTAAGTTTATTATCACATATAAACTTTTTAATTTTAGATGGAACCTTCGAAAAACGAGAACATACATGGTGATGAGACTGAGATGGAAGGAAACAAGGAACAAGGAACAAGTAACAACCGGTGATGATACTTACGAACCCGTAAGCATGCCTGTAGGGACTAACACGGGCAATAAACAACCACAAAAAAAGATTAAAGTCGGTTGTTTGGAATCATTTTGAACAAGTGTATGTTGATGGTGTTAGACGATATGCAAGATGTAATTATTGCAATAAACAACTGACGGGTAGAGCCAATGACGGAACTACAATTTTGAAGGACCATTTTAAGAATTGCCCAAGAAGAGTGACAAAGGATATTAGACAACATATCCTAGTTCAGGACCAAAAGGC